TTTTTTTTTCATTGATTCTCTTTAGTTATACATGACTAGCATATCCATTTTTCCATAATTATAAAAGTATGAATTATAACTTCTTCTAATTCAGTCCCCAATACCTACCCTTCTTTTTGTCTCCACCCACTCCTGCTCCTTTCTCTCTACTCAAATGATCATTGTGCAATTTACCCATAGTAACTTTTTTAAAAAATTAGTATCTTGTGGCATAGTATATTAGTCACAATAGTCAAAAGGCAGAAAAACTCAAGCATCTGCTATAGGATGAATTTAATCACAAAATGTCACACAAACACACACGGACACACAAACACAGATATTAATTATCCTGTCTTAAAAGATAGGGAATTCTGATACAACACAAATGACCCTTGAGGACATTGTTTTAAGTAAAATAAATCAGTTATCAAAGGACAAATATTATAAGATTCCCTTATTTGGTTAACTAAGGTAGTAAAATTTATAGAGACAGAAAGTAGAATGGTGTTTATCAGAAGCTGGACATAGGGAAATGGAGAGTTATTGTTTCATACAGAATTACAATTGATAAGAGGCAAGAGTTCTAAGGAAGAATGGAGATGACTGGTGTTGCTATGGTTAGAATGATTGTCCCCTCCTCCAATTTATATATTCAAAACCCAATCCTGAAGGTCATGATATTAGAATGAAGGCCTTTAAAGAGTGAGCAGTCAAGGGCAAAGCCCTTGTAATTAGGATTAGTAGGTTTTTTGTTTTTGTTTTTGTTTTTGTTTTTGAAGAAACTTCAGAGAGCTAGCTGGTCCCTTCCACTATCTATTGTGAGTATACAACTAGAAAACTGTTTGTAAGGTTTGAGTCCATCAGAGACCAAATTGCTGGCATCTTGATCTTATACTTTCTAGTCTCCAGAAATAGAAGTAAATTTCTTTTGATAAGCTGCCTAGTTAATTGTATTTTAATTACACCTGCTAAACTGACTAAGAGAATTACAAGGCAATGTGAATTTGCTGATATCACAAAACAGTGTATTTTAAAAAAAATAGTTACAATGGTAAATTTTATGCCATGTGTGTATCATTCTAAAATTTTTTAAAAAGTTTTAAAAATAAACTTGAGCTTGGAAATGGAAAAGAGGTCGGAAATAGACATTCTGTTTTGAACATATTTAAGTGTGAAATACCTATTAGAAAATGAAAAACCTATTAGAAAATGACTCTGTTCTCATAGGAGTTGTCACAATTTCAAATATAAATTTGGAAGTTTCCAAAGTATTAATTTAGGCCAACAGATTGAATGGGATTATTTAATGAAAACATGTAACTGAGTAAAAAAAATAATAAGAAGAGAGCTCTGGAAAAGAGAAAAAAATTTTGACAAAGGAGTCAAAAGTATTTTTTAATGATATAAGAAAAGAAGTAAATGCCAAAAACACAAAGAAAAAGTAGAAGTATAAGGTGACTTGGAAAACCGAGGAAAATATTTCTGGAAAGAGGGAGCAGACAAATGTATTAAATAGAGGTGTTAAGTGATGGCAAAACATTGATCATTGACTTTGGAAAGTTTGGGGATTTCTTGTGACTTTGTCAAAGATATCGATTGGAAAGACAGAAACAAAATACTGATTACACAGAAAGGAGGATAAGAGAATGGTTCAAGGAAACAAAAGAAAAGAGAAGGAAAAGAGAGAAAGGAAGGACCTAAGGTTCTCTGGATATAAATGACTATTTTGAGAAGTGTTGACATAAACAGTGGTAGTAAAGAAATAGGGCAGTATCTGGTGTTTAGAAAACATAATTTTGCTAATACATGATATAAAAGTAGTAACAATTAGAACTGCTAAATGCATAGTAAATACTAAGCATTTGAAAGAAGTTTTCATTCACAATTCATAATCATTCTGTGACGTAGACATACAGATGAAAACACGAGTGTTAAGTCACCTTCAAAAGATCACAGAGACAGTAAGTGTCAGATTTGGTGATAGGAATTAAATACCTGGGCTTATAATCATTAAAAAAACACCTGTTCTAGATATATTCACCAATATATGATTGTTTATTCCTATACATTTTTTGCTTAGTATCCTGTCATAATGACAAAAATATATTTAATTAGGTTGAGTTTGTAGTACTTTATCATCTTTAACATCTATGTCAGGGTTTTGATCATCTGTCAAATCAAAATTTATTTCTAAAGTGGACATGTATCTAGCATACAAATACACTGTGAAATTTTAGACAATTTTTTTCATGTGGCAAATTGAATATCTTCCCTCCTATCAAGTGAGGAAAGTACGCTCTATTGCTCTCTACTCAAAATGTACTCCACAGACCAAGACCAGATTCAGAACATTTTTGTCCCAAGTAAACAGTGATATAAAAACAGAAATTGAGAGATAATGTTCAAATTTCATACTGATATGTTATTGTGATGGAACCCAGGAACATTACTTTATTTTCATAATTAGATTACGATTTTTTTAAATATTAGGTTTTTATAGACTATAAATTTAAAAATTTAAGAAAAAAAATATCTTTTAAAGTTAGTGTCATGGCTTCCCAGCTTCCAAGTCACACAGCCAGCCAAGTAATCCCTATTGAGAAGTAGCAGCCCTGAGCAGGCTGGAGTGCAGGCAACACTGGCCCCAGCCACAGGGAACCCATTATGCCACTGTGGGTCTGAGGCATATCAAGCAAGGGCCCAGGCAAGCAGGGTGTGCAGATTTTTTGCCTCACTACTGCCCAGGTGGCTGTTGTGGATGCACATTCCACATAGGGTCATAGCTCTGAACCCCAAAGCATCTACAATCTACTGACCTAAATTCCTAGGAAGCTGGGATTACAGGCCAGTAGCAAGAAAATGGTGGTGGGACATACCTGAATGGAAGTTCAGAACCAACAGTGTTAATACTTTAAACCTCATTAGCATAAATTTTAACCAACAGTATTAATACTTTTCCAAACACCTGATTAGCTAATTTAAAAAAATAAAATAAAATAAATTTGGACCAATATTGTTGATAATGTTTCCAAACCCTAACTAGCACAGATCGGGGCCAATAGCGTTGACGCCCTAATGCAATATAAATGCCTAGACTAGCACACTCAAGCAGTAACCCCGATTGGGTCCCTGCTTGCCCCTGCAAGAGTTTTGATTCTAGTATTTATAATCAAATAAATCCTATTCCTTTCTCTTGCCTTCTATTGTCCTGTGAATTTCATTCTTCAGAGTTGCAAGACAAGAACCCAGAAAGAAGTTGGTGGTGAGCTGTTGGAGTCTCCCCAACACCAAAAGCAAAGAAACTGCTGAGTGGAGAACGAAAAAATCTGGAGAATAGAGAAAAGGAGAAACTGTCAACTATAAGTAACTTCTAAAGAGACAGACAAATGAATGGGGGACTGTAGTGGTCACTTGCTTGCATGGTGGATGAATAAAGAAAGTAATTGTAGTTGTGCTCACTCCTCTTTCCCCCTGTTGCTTTCAGAGTGCCCAATTTAGAAATCTTTGCAAAAGTTCTGGCCAGTATACTTGTCCTTTATGGTTAAACCAAGATGATTTCAGAATCTACTGCAGATTTTTGGAATCCTGGAATACTGTCCCCTGTTCAAGCCATTGTTCCCTTCTCCAAATCCTAAGGACTAGGGGATCATAATTTAGGCTTCATATCATACGATGTTACCCTTCTTTAGTCCATTTTATTGTTGCTGATAACACAATACCACAGACTGGTTAAATAATAAAGAAAAGAGTTCTCTTTGGCTCATGATTCTGTTCCAAGTTCAAGGACATCTGATGATGTCCTTCCATATGGGAAAGTTCCAAGACTGCATAAGGTATCACAGAGAAGGGAGTCAAGGAGTGGTGGCAGAGAGTTCATATGGGAAGAGATGAAACAAAAGATCAGGCAGACCCCAGACACATCTATGGCAACCTGACACCAGGGGAACTAATCCATTCCTGTGAAACCCAAGAGTCTCAATAATCTCTTCAAAAGAGAGTCATGACCTAATGACTTCCTACTAATCCCCACCTCTTAAAATCTCAGCACCTGTCAATATTATTACACTGACATACATCCCTATAGAAAAGAAAATTAAGAATGGAAATGTCCTGTGATCCAGTAACTCCACTATTGGTTATATATCCAAAACACATGAAATCAGTGTGCCTAAGGCATCTGAATTCCCATGCAGCATTATTCATAATAGCCAAGACTTGAAATCAGCCCAAGTGTCCTCCAGCTGATGAATGGATAAACAAAATGTGGTATATATACACAATAAAAAAGCAAGGAAATACATTTGTAAATTGGACTAACATGGAAGATACCATGTTAAGTGAAATAAATCCAAGCATAGAAAAAAATATATCACACAATGTCAATTATACGTAAACTCTCTCTTGATGGACTAATGGAAATTGAAAAAAAAATAAGAACTAAAACATTTAAAATTTTTAAAACCACGGAGAGATCTTGAAATGAGCTTCTCCTTTGAAAAAGAAATATAGCTCTACTTTAGCAACTGTTAACTCATATGTATTTGGTTGAATTAAAAATAATAATGTATTTATTTTATAAATAATTTTCACAGTAGAGTCTCAGTTTGTCAATCAATCTTTAAATTCTTATGTTCAACAATTATGTGTTCCCTACTCATTGAGGACCATTTGGTTGCCACAGTTCAAGCTGAAATAAGAGGAGCATATTTTTCCTTCTTACACTTTGTATTCTACTGTGGATGCATTCCATCAGATGACTGCAAAAATAATATAACTTTCAGCATATGTGAGTGATAAGAAGACAAAATGGAGTAAGGATGGAACATGCAGGTGTCTGTTTTGGTAGGATTTGAGAATTCCTTTCTGCAGTGATATGATAGGAGATAGTTTATTAAATAACATATAGGACTAATACATACAAAAATCCTGGGAGAACACTTTCAATGGAAGACAGAGGAAGGGCCAAAGACCTGAGGAAAACTGAACTAAAATCATTATGAAATAACAATTTCAATGTGCCCAGAATACATTGGTCCAGAGAGCAAGGCTTTGAAGATGCTCTTAGACAGTTGAAGGGCAGATCAGGTAGGGCCTTGAAGGTCATGCTAAGGAGTTACTTTTATTTCAAATGTGATAGAAAGTGATGCTAAACTTTTAATTTAAGTGAGATGATAAAATTATGTCCTTTTTTAATACATAAATCTTGCTTCTGTGGAGAAATATTATGACCCAATGAGATGAAGCCAAGATGCCACAAGGGTTTTCTAATTGGTCCAGGATAAACAACTGTGTGATTGTATAATTATTGTTTGTACCTGTAGTAAAATTGGACAAAACTGGAAAAAAAATTAGTTTTCTCTTCATTAAATCTACAAAAATGTTATATGTGAAAAATATATGCAATTTAAAGTCTTGAAGGAGTTCTCATGGAGGTGTGGTGAGTGGAGTTCTTAATTTTATCTATTAATTTATCTATCTTTATTTGTCTTTTTAAATAGAGATAACTCTAAAAAAATATTTTGCTATGTAGTTAAGATTTCAAGTAAAATTTTTAATACATTTTCTCTATTGCTTTATAAAAAGATGCATATATCTTTTTTATAATAACAGTGACTGCAATTATTACAGAAATGTATAAGAGACAGGAAAGCATAGGCATGAATTAGTGTGCCCAGAGATAATGAGGTTATTGCATTTAAATTCTTTTAGTAACAAAAACCAAGACAAATACTATGGAAAATGAGAATGCTTCATGCCATCACAAGTCAGTAGCTGGACATCTGTGTTTACAGTTTACCATTAAGCATCCACAGAAAGAAAAAGAAGAAATAAGTATATTACATAGGGTGGGAATTAGAGAAGTGAATTATCACGGTCAGAGGATTTGTGATTGTTAATGATTAAATTCTAATCATAGAGGAGTAATACCAAACAGAAGCTTAAAACCTCCTTCAAAATTTCTTGGACAAAATTTTTTGTTTTTAGACAACACATTACTAATTAAAAATCCAAATATCCTATGCTGCATATTTAAAAGTGAAATGTTGATATATAAATTTGACAGATTTAGGTTGAGAAATTCAGAATTTCTCAGTAAGGTAAAATAAATTCACTACACAGAAGTTAATTGGACCTGAATTTAGTCACAGTTCTGTAAATATCTAGACTAGGGAACAGATCTAGTGACATATAAAAATTATATTGTTATCAGCAGTTTGAAATGTGTCACAGGGGATCTGAGAGACAGGAATCTTTTAAAAAAATTGTACATGCTAACATTTTGAAAATAATGAAATTGTCTTATACAGTGATTAAGTAATAAACTGTATTTCTTACTCTTGTTTTAATTCATTAAAAAATTAAAAGCACTTCATGAGGAGTTTTCACTATCAACTATTGTCTTTTTCTAATGTTGTTCTATATCCAATCTGTTGATGTCATGGTTAGTAACAAAAGTAAAAAAAAAAAAAAAACACAAGAGGGGGGCTGCAAATCTGTGGATCTTTAACCCAAACATTGCTTTTTCAGCTTTTATATTTTACCACCAGGCTTTATCAGGATTAGCAATGCTTTAAACTCCCAGCCTGTTTCCCAATTCTTAGTCCTTCCACTTAACCTTTGCATTTTGACTATGTTCAATGTAATATTTTTTGTAAAAATTTACCAATTGGAATTATAGCAACAATTCAATAAATTTGGCTGTCTATTAAATTCTAATTTACACATAAATAAGAGTAAAAACAATTTTGATTTTCCCATGAAAAGTATAGATCTTATGTTTCTTTAACTTGGTATTTCTGTTTTTATAATTACAAAATTTATAATATCTCTTTCTACTTTGAATATACTCTGTTTTCTATTAGGTTTTCTTACTAGTTATTGTACCTGAATAGACTAGAAAAATATTAAATTAAAAGCGGACATAAAGGATGCAATGATAAAGAACAGAAATTAATATAATGAAAGAAAAGAAAAAACCTAAAGCTATGATAATAAGCATTAGTATGATCTTATTGAAAGAATAGACACAATATAATGGAACAGGACAGTCTAGAAATAGAAACATACATACAAAATCAACTGATTTTTCACAACGTTCTAAGTCAATTAAAGACAGATAACCATTTAAAAATTATTCTAGTATAGGTATGCATAAATGCATAAATAAAATGAAACGTTCTGTTTACAGCTTTTACAAAAATGAACTCACAGACCTAAATGAAAAATATAAAACTATGCAACATCTAGAAGCAAGTATATAGGAGAAATCATCTAGAAGTAAATATATAGCAGAAAATATATATGCTGACATGGCCATGTTCACTAAAGAATTTTCTGATATCCATTAAGTTGTATTTTATAAAATTTAAATTTTTTTCTATGTGACAAATACTATTTTTAATTTATATGTGACAGCAGAATGCATTACAATTTTTATTACACAAATAGAGCAAAATTTGTCATATCTCTGTTTGTATACAAAATATATTCATACCAATTCGTGTCTTCATACATAGCTAAGGATTGCTTTAGCTATTCTGGGTCTCATTTTTTCAGATGAATTTCATGATTGCTTTTCCTATTTCTATGAGGAATATCATTGGTATTTTAATCAAAATTGTGTTAAATCTGTATAGTTCTTTTGGTACAATGGTCATTTTGATATAATTAATTCTGCCTATCCAAGAACAAGGTAGATCTTTCCATGTTCTAAGGTCTTCTTTGACTTCTTATTGTTTTAGGGTTCTGTAATTTTCATTACATAGATCTTTCACCTCTTTCATTAAATTGATTCCCAAGTATTTTATTTTTTTTAGGCTATTGAAAATGGGGTAGTTTTCCTTGTTTTCCTTTCTGAGGATTTGTCACTGACATACCAAAATGCCTTTGATTTATGGGTATTGATTTTATATCCTGATACTTTGATGAATTAATTTACTAGTTCTACAAGTTTGCTGGTGAAACTTTTAGGGTCTTCTAGAGATAAAATCATATCATCAACAAATAGTGCCAATTTGAGTTCTTCTTTTCCTATGTGTATGGCTTTAATTTCTTTAGTCTGTCTAATTGTTCTGGCTAGTGTTTCAAGAACTATGTTAAATAAAAGTGGGGAAAGAGGGCATCTTTATTTCAGTTTTTAGAGGGAATGTCTTCAATATTTCTCTATTCAGAATGATGTTGGCCTGGGGCTTAGCATAGATAGTCTTTATGATATTGAGATATATTCCTGTTATCCCTCATTTTTCTAGTGTTTTGAACATAAAGGGGTGCTGTATTTTGTAGAATACTTTTTCAGCATCTGTTGAGATGATCATATGCTTTTATCTTTAAGTCTATTGATATGATGAATTCCATTTATTGATTTCCATATATTGAACCAACCTTGCATCCCTGGGATGAATCTCACTTGATTGTGGTGTATGATCTTTTTGTTATGTTTTGTATTTGATTTGCCAGAATTTTACTGAGAATTTTTTTAAAGTAACATTTTTTTAATTGTAGATGGACACAACACCTCTATTTTATTTATTTACTTGTATGTGGTGCTGAGGATCAAACCCAGTGCCTCACACATGCTAGGCAAGTGCTCTACACTATGCCACAACCCCAGCCCTTATTGAAAAATTTTGCATCTATGTTCATTAGAGATATTGGTCAGATATATTGAAATTTCTTTCTTTCTTCTTCTTCTTCTTCTTATTTTTTTTTTTTTTTGATGTGTCTTTGCCTGCTTTTGGAATCAGGGTGATATTTGCTTCATAGAAT